TATTAATTCGTACGTCTTTCAGTTGTTCTCTATAGAAAAATCGTTCAGTCTCGTATTCTTCATAAACGTTTCGCGGACAATACCACCCCTTAAGTCCTCTCGCTCTCTTTTTTTTTTTTTCACCACTACGCGGGCCTTTTGTTTCGCTTCGCAAAACAGAACAGACACGTGGGGACAAAAGGAAGAAGCTCGAACAATAAGCTTCGTAGTTGACGACCTCGAGTCGAAATGGGGCCAGCAAACCGCAATCGACGGAAAAAAGACTAAAAATCACATTTCGAGTCGGCAACACGCAAATTTTATACTCTAATACGATAATTAAGGATATCCGTTGGAAACGTGCATTAAGAACATCCTTTTATATTTCGCAAACGAATTAAAAGATATCGAAATTTATTTTAGACGAATTTTTGATAAGAATAAGTTTGTCATTTTGTGGTATCTTTCTTTCTCTATCGAATCGTTAAACAAAAATTTCTATGTACAAGTATTTTTGATCTTACGTTATTTTATTGTGTTATATATGATCAATTATGTTCTATAGGGTAGATAATACAATGAAATGGAAAATGTCGTATATGTAAAAAAACATCTTGAAAAAAAAAGAAAAAGAAAAACTTTTAAAAGGACATAATATTTTTGTTTACATTCGTCGTACGTATTGACTTTTTCTTGTCAGTTTTAAGAAATGAAAAAGAGAAAAACACCTTGCGCGTAGTTAGTCACGATATCTCGGGTATGAAGCTGCAGCTGCTCTCAAGCAGTCGGGAGGTCATAACATATGCCACGGTGGTCGTCGGTTCCCCGGCTCTTCCGATTGTTCATGTGTTATGTACATGGTGTGCATGGACGTATGCTTTAGACGCGGCACGGTCACGCGGATTATCCTCGATCTATTATTATTCTCAAAGATCACCTTACGCACAGAAAAAGATTGACAAAGTTTCATCTAAATTTTCAATTCTATATTTTTTTTGTAAATCTTTCGAAAATCAATATTATGGACTATCTAAAAATGTAGGTCATCCTTGATGGTCAGCGATGATCGCAAGGATCGATTAGACCGCATCGCGTGCTAAGAATACGGCAGTTACTTTATTTCTCGTTTTACTTGCTTCTTGCTTTTTCTTCTTCTTCAAGAATTTCAACTCGAACGAATTATTAAAATTGATAGACCAATGGAATAATTAGATATGGAATAATTTTTTAATCAAATATACGTATTCGCTTGGAATTGAAGTATATTTTTTTTTCTCGAGGTAAAAAAAATATAAGAGGGAAAAGTGTGGCCACGGGGTTGATACTTCTAAGATAATTCTTATTTTTCCCGAGAAAAGGGATTGAGGGGGTAAAAAGTATCTCGAGGAACGAGTCGGAGTGGAAGATGAATCGGCCGCAAATTGCGGGGAAAAAGGTAAAACTTGGCTGTGGTAAGTTTCTTATTCTACTTCTTCTACTTTTCTACCAACCGTGAGAGGTCGGCCGAGCTCGATTTTTGTTTTCATTTGATTACTTCGCCGGCTTATTCTTTGACGAGAAGGGGGTGGGGTGGGGGCGGCGGGGGAGGGGTGTGAGAAAACTCGAAACGGAATAAGTTCGCACGAGGGAGGAAGTCGGAATCGTGAGAATCCAGTTATTATAGTATATTCTCTTTGCCTCTAGATCGATAGCAGGTAAACCTAGACTTGCCAAAATAAATGGGGTAGGTAAACGCGATGTCGGGGGTGTAATTTGCGTGCGTGTGGCCTCGTGTGCTCGATAGGTGTTGAGTAAGGTTAGTCAAAGTTCAAGCCTACAACGGTTTATGCGTTAGGATCAAACGGCCATTTGCTTACGAACGACGAATGTCTCTAACGAATGTACACTTCAACGTTAAAGTCATCGGAGTATCCTTTCTCACGACTCGGTTTCTCTTCCCTTTCTTCTATTTTCTTCATTTTCGTTTTCCTTCTAGTAGACTCTTTCCCGGACTTCTTCTCTTCTCCGTGTCACCAGCCGAGGGATTACTTTCTCATTTAGATTTTATCTCGGCGCTCGGCGTTGTCCCATCTTCTCTCCCTCTCTCTCTTTCTCTTTCTTTCTCTCTTTTGCTTTTAGTCCGTCTCTCATGTTCCTCTCAAACGGCCATTTCCCACTTCCTCCTCTCCCGACTCCTCCCGTGGCCAGATCCTTTGTTTTTACTAATTACCCAGGACATCAGCTATTGACCTCTTCCACCTTTACCCACCTCCCGTCTCGATCTTCTCTCTTTCCTTTCTACTCCGCCAAGCGATCATTAGGCGACTAGCCAAGTGTCCCCCTCCCACCACCTCATGGTATTCTACCTCATTTTACCTTACGCTTCTCTCTTCCTTTTTCTTCTCGTTTTGTTCTTCTTATCATCGAAAAAATAACGCTAGAGAGTAAAAGTTTCGACGTTTATTTCACGAATAGAAATGGTTGTCGAGAAAGGGTTGCGTCAGGGCCAGGATAAATTCCTCGTCTATCGACAACCTCGAGGTCGTGAACCATGTAGATGATCGCACACGCAGCTGTCAGGACAAAAAATCAGACTCGATTGTTTTATCCCTTCTCAGGTCGCCCGATGGTCAACCGGTCGTTCTCTTATTATTATAATTATCCGAATAGGTAGGGTAGCCGAAAATGCAGGGAGATAGACGAACGAAAGAAGAAACGGTTTCATCCCCCTTGTCCAGACTTCAAACCGTCCTACCTACCTACCTACCAACTTTTCGTACTCTTCTTTCCCCCCTTATCCTCTGTCTCGTTCTCTTTTTCTTTCTCATTGAGAGGAAGTAGAAAAAGAATAAGAGAAAGAACGAAAGACATAACCCTTCGTCGAGTCGGATGAAATTTAATTTTCTTTCTTCTTCCTTTATTTGGTATCTCCTTCCTCGGAGGTCTTCGCGTCTAACAGAAGCCCTTGTAAATAACAGAAGTGACCTTCGGATGAGCCACATGCCATACGTTGGACGTCCACATATGCAAATCACGACGAGATCATTGTGCGCTTACCGGTACCCCTTAACCCCCTGTTCTCTTCGTACCACCTCTCTACTCTTACCCCTCTTCATTTTCTTCAACAAAAAGATTCAGGTCAAACTCTCATCCGGTTAGAAAATTTTTATTTTTCGATCAGGCGAGTAACAAAAGGGATCACCCTGATGGTCGTGTTCTGTAAGAAGGGCTAGAAAAAGAGAGGTAGAGAAAGATAGGTACGAAGGGAGGAGAAGAAAAAAGGGAGAATTGAGACAAGACCATTCACTTTTCTCGATATATAACGGTCGGGAGAGATAAACTCGAAAAAGAAAGAAGGAGAGGGAAGAAGAGAAGCTCGTAAGACAATTGATACAATTATGAAGTAGCTGAAGTGGGGTCGTACAAAAGATGTCTGCGAGTTCTTGAAACATTTTCTTTTTTTTCCTCGTGGATTATTCGAATTACCTTCCAACACCATTATTGAAGATGTTTCAAAAAACGAAGTATAAAACCTAACGTGTTTTAATCCCATACACTTTTTTTTTTTGGCGTGTAAAAACGATAAAGCGTTAAACAAGGATAGAAATGTTTCGGAATCCCCTAAGGAACGTTATGAGACGCTTTCGTTGATCCAACTGTCATGATGGAAGTCATCGTAATCGTGGTCGTAATCTCTCCTACAAGGGCAAAATTGTGTGAGCGCGTATCTCTGCAGGTAGTAATAAGATCTAGTCGCCCTATCGACGAAAGGCTCGCGCGAGGGAATGCCGTTGGAGAATTTCCAGAGGCGAGGCACGCCGTTCTGGGGGTGGCCTACCATCCCTCGTGGAAACGCGATGGAACGAGCTGCGGTCAACGCCAGGATTCGAAATACGATGGTGTACGTATTCGGTTAGGTTGCGTACGCAACGTTCGTGTGTTAACCTTACTGTCACGCCGGCGACCGAAGCACGTGAAGCCGCATCGGCTCCTCGAAATTGTTATTGAACGTCGAGGGCGAATTCGTATTCCTTCTAAATCGACTGAATCGTTTCCCTCTCAACCCGTTTTTCGAACATCTTCATTTTCCATTGTAGATTGACTTTAGTAAAAGGATCTCTTTTCATATTGCCTAACATTTCAACATTGTTATGTTTGTTGTTTTCATTTTTTTATTAAGTTCTCCCAATATATTATCTATAAATGATAGATCACATACGATGATAGTAATCAATAGCAACCAAGGAAAAATCAAAAGATCACTCGATTATTATAGTTATCTACGATCAAAGTCTCATAAAGCAGAGAGAAGCAGAGGCTGCGGTCAACAGCAGGATTTGGAATACACGGTGAACGTGAAGTCCATTCTGCCGTGCGGGTAACAACGCCGTGCTAACCTTACTGTCACGCCGAAGCCAAAGGGATGTAAAGCCACGATAACGCCTCCGAATCGTTATTGTGTACGACAGAGAAACCACCCCTCGGTCGTTCATCGAGCCACCTCGAAAACAAAGTGTCGGTTCTAAGTTATAGAAAAATGCCATCTGATCTATCGTAGATTTTATTTTTTTCAGAGGAGGAATAAACACAAATTACAATATTTTTCTTATATTATTTTATTAAACATAATGCATAGAGAAATTATATAAGACATCGTAATGTTGCTATAATTATCAATTAATCCAACTTAAGGTAGAATCAGCTTATCTCGGCTGGAACGGTTCGATTGTATCCCACTAGAGTCGATCTACGATCCGGTCTCCTTTAAGTATAGAACATAATAACGACATAGGTATACATAATAGGTGGTCTAGATCCTTTAAGTCAAGAATCGAAAAGTCAAATTCGTCATTGGGATGCAATTGATGTCAGCCAGGGAAAATTCGTGGACGCGAGTAAGCGTCGCCGTGGAGCCGAGACTCGGTTCATGACTCTCGGGTATAGGGTGGAAGAGGTGGATGAGGATGTGGATGAAGAGAGGGAGGATGGTGGGTGAAGAGGGTAGTGGTAGCGATGGTGGTAGTGTGGTAGTGGTTGTGGTGGTGACTATGTAGGAGGGTGGTGGTGACGAAGGGGTCGACGAGGGGTGGAGGCGGAGGGCTAGCCAGCGAGAACGTCCGAGAGAGGGTTGGTGGCTCGCTACACGGCATCGGCATACGGAGGTTTGGCCGGTGGTGTTGGGGGGGTCGGTGTATGGCGGCCGATAGAAGCGGCGAAGAGGTGAGGTGGGGGTGCTCAGCACGGGGCCACGGCGCAGTTGCTACTCAGACACGGGGATGCTCGCAATGCCTCTATCAAAGGTTACCGAAATTTCACGAAAATATCCGTTGTTTAGCGGGCGTCTCGCGTATTATTAACGAGCCGACAAAAATAAAATGGAAAGAAATCGCGTCTTTTCTCGCGAGGTGTTTTTACGGGAGCGCGAAATTCCGTTATCGTTCGACAATAATCGCTCCCTTACGTCGCGTAGAGCGTTTTGGAGAAAAAGGGGGACCGAGGAGGGTGGGTGGGTGGGTGGTTTGGGTTTGTCGGTAGGAGGGTTAAAAAAAAAAAAAAGAAATGAAAATTAAATAGAAAAAGGAACGGAAAAAAAAGTATCGTTTGAAATTAGTTGGAAAGAAGTGTGCGGAAGAAAGATGAGGAAGGACGGAGAGACGAAGGAAGGAGAAGGAAGAAAAAGGGAAAGGATGAAAGGAATAAAGGAAGGAAGGATGGAAGGAAGGAAGGAAGGAAGGAAGGAAGGAAGGAAGGAAGGAAGGAAGGAAGGAAGAGGAAGTCGCCTTGTGGCTCCTTAGGAAGATCGCACCGCGACGTGCCAGCAGACACTGCCGCGCCGCGAGAAACACGTGGGGGAGAAAAGTCCGGGAAAGCGCGACGAGATAGGGAGTGAGCAAGGGAGAAAGAGAGAAGGAGAAGGACGGAGGGAGCGTCCCGACGCGTCTTATCACGACGCGCAAGGAGCGACGCCGCGCGCCTCCTCTTTAGAAGGGGAACGAGATGAAGGTGGAGGGGACGCTCTTTCCTTCTCACACTCTCTCTCTCTCTCTCTCTCTCTCTCTGGGTCTCTTGCTCTCGAGAAATACGGGAGGAGAAGGGCAGGGGGTGGCAAAGACGCTCATTCGTTCCTCGAGTCACGTGGCCCCCTTCTTATTCTGTGCTTTTTCCTTAGAGGAGCGCGCGGGAGCTTTGAACGTAGAGACTCGATGCCGACGCCTGAGATGCGACCGACGCCGGTCACAGCCCACCCCCAACCCTCTCGAACTTCTCTTAGGAGTCATCGTCTCCCATCGACCATTTCTTTTTCTTCTTCTTCTTCTTCTTCTTCTGCTTCTTCTTTTCCTTTTTTTCTTTTTCCTTTTATCTTCGATTCGTCGTTTATCTTCTTTCCTCTCGTCTTATTATTTTGTTGTTCTTGTTGTTATTTCTTCTTCTTTTATCTCAAATCGTTTACCGAATTATTATTATTGTTTGAAACGATTAAATTATCGGATCTTACATGTATTTACCTGATCAATTTCTCTTCGGAATTCGTTTGATTTTCATTTATTTTAATTATATCGTTTACTTTTATTTCTTTAGTCTGATCGGAGAAAAATAACCCTATGCTTCTGTTTATTGTAATGGAAGAAATCAATAATTCAATTTCGAATTTGAAAGAAATTGAAATGGTAATGGAATTGTAATGGGTTAAGAAATATTCCTCGGTCCCCCTTGACTACGATCGCTCTACGATTTGTATCTATCGGGATAAGAAAATTTGCGCAAAAAAAATTTGATAATTCGCCCTGTATACGGTGATAGAGATTTATCCACCGCATACGGGGCGACCAATAGAAAAAAAAAGAACCGGAAATCCGACGTCCCTATTCTCTTTTATCTGTTTCAGACGCGTCGCACTGTGTTGTTATGTGTTGTCATAGTTATTTCATTGAAAAATTAATTTCACCGTTTTCGAAACTTGCACCGATTTCTGTCTGTGAAACACAAAGTCTGAACAACTCCTCTTAAGTTTTGCCGAACCCAAAAATAGAAAAAAGGAAAAAAGAACAAAAAAAAGAAAAAGATTAAGCAAAAAAAAAAAAAGAAAAAAAAAAAGGAAAAAGAGACTAGACTCGATTATTTAGAAAACTTACTTTCGAACGTGCTTCGTTTCAAAATTACGACGAATAAGAAGACGACGAGGAAGAAAAAAAGAAGAAATAGGAAACCAAGAAAAAATACGAAAAAAGCACAAAAAAAAGAGAAGAAACGAAATTTAAAACAAAAGCATTGCCTTAAGGAAGAAGGAGAGTAATTACTACCTACACCGTCGAAGGAACAAACGAGAGACAAAGGGGGGATAAAAAAAGGAAACAAAAAAAAACACTTTAGACGTCTACAAAGTAAATTGTAAAGAAATGACTAAAGTATATTTTTAACAAGTTTTGAGAAAACTTTAGATTTTAAACGTAAATTTTAAAAGCGAAAAATGAAAAAAAATCATAAAATTCTTAATAATTAAAAATGTGATCTAAAAGTCGTTGCTGCCAAGAGAAGCCTTATGTCCTTGTTTCAATTAGTTCGGTTCCAAACGTAAGTACTCGTCAAGTTCATCATTATCATTACCATTTATTCATTTTATCTTATTGCACGATATAACTTATCTTTTATACACAGTTAGTAATATGTTATATATACATATATATGTATACATATCGATGTACATTTACATATATACATGTATAGATAGATTTGAGCTCGATTCGACATATTAAATAACGAGAACGAAAGGGCCCTCCACTATTTCGACTACGAGGATACACATATGCTTATGTACCTTTTACTATATACATATAAATGTATAATAGTAGAGTCGTCGAAAAGTCTATTGAAAGGAATCGATCGATGAATGAAAGATAAGATTCATCGTTCGCGCGAGCAACTCGATAAATCTTCTACAAAATTCTATGCTCTTCTATTCTATTCTCGCGTATAGGTAGAATCATAGTCGCGTAAAGCGATCATTTTACAAGTCGTGCTTTGTAATAACTACTCTCTATCGGCCTTTATCATCGTCGGGGTGGTAACGCCTGTGTAACGGTTATTGTAAAACTCTGAGGTAGCTAGAGTATACTTTCCTACGTCTATCTACCGTCACTCTATCTTTCTATCTCTCTCCCTCTTTCTGTTTCATTCTTTCACCGTTTCTCTCTAGTTCTCAATGGTCTTCCTCGATGGTGCTTATTATATAGTAGAACGGTTAAGCGCGAAAATGTCCATAATAATGGCAAGCACTATAATCAGCTGTGTTAGCTCGTGGTAACGCCATTAGGCATATTATTCTTACAACTCCCGGATTATTAAGTAGTATGCAAAGACGCGTCTATCCATCATAGCGACGGTCTAACGGCACTGCCGCGAGTTATCGTTCCTATAGTTATCGATTCAGGCGTATTCCTTAAGAGAACTTCTAATACGTTCCTATTAACATGTGTTGCAAGAATATAAATACATAAGGGATTTCGATAGATGATAAAGTATGGAACAATTCATTCGTAATACGTTTCGATTGATTTACGAGAAAAAATATTAATAAAGCTTTTCGTAGAGAATAACCGATAAGAATCGTGATTTTTTTCGAGTTTGAAATATTCACCAAGAGAATGATAGAGAGAGAGAGAGAGAGAGAGAGAGAGAGAAAGAGGATAGAGATAATACGAATTGGAAAAGAGCAACGTAGTTAAATAGAATGAAATAAAGGCAGAGGGAAACGCGATGACTTCTTTTTTGATCTGACCAATGGCTAAAAAAGTATAGAAAAAAAAAAAAAAAAAAACTGAATGGAAAATTTAAAAAACGCCAACAGACACATACATATACAAAGTGAACGATCACCGGAAACAAAGAGCTGGCTTTAGCGTCGAAATCATTCCATTCGACAAGCGAACGATGACGCACCCCTGTTCGGACGGCCCGGGCTGTTGCAACGCGATGATTGCGGGAGGTGAGTGGGTGGTAAAATGGGGGAGAGGTTGGTAGGGTGAGTCGCGAAGAAAGGCTGCGAGGGGTGTGGGTGAGGTGTGGGTGGGTGCGCTGGGCTTCGATTTGAAATTTCCTATTTCCCAACTGGAGGCTCGCTTTCAAAATGAAACGTTGCATGCATCGAATGACGGGAGTAGGGGGTAGAGAGAAAGAGTTCGAAGAGTAACGTATACACATATATTTAAACATACACACATATAAAGAGTATAGATAGTCGTTCGATATAGACGAAACGTTTGTCGTAAAAGGACCGTGTTCGGAATCGTGTTCGGCCATACGAGAGCCGAGTATTTTTTCGATGATTTCGTAGCACTGATAGGTATGTGTGCGAAAATACGTACATACGTACTAGTAACGCAATCATCCCCTTTAGTTACGTTCGAAACGGCAAGAGGGTGGCTAAGGGGAGGAGGACGGTGATCAAGGGCGGAAAGGCGTTAGGGAGCCCCCGCCCTCCTCGATCCTCGAAAGAGGAGGTAGTATGCGTTGTACTAGTAGATAGTACGAACGTCGCCGTCCGTAAAGTGTCTATGTATGTGTGTGGGAAAGAGAGAGAGAGAGAGAGGGAGAGAGAAGGAAGGGGGGGAGAATGTAGGAGAAGGATAGAGTGAAGAGAGGAGAGGATGCCGGTGAGGGCGGCGCGCCGGCGGCCGCTCTCGCATGCATTTTTTTTCCGCACCTCGCGTATTGATCCCGGAGTCATTCAAAATGGCGGCCAGGGCCGAGTCAGCCAATGACTGCCTGAATCGATGACTGCAGCGAGCCACCCTCGGACCGGCCAATGGGAGCCCGCCGTACGGCGCTCTCTGCGGGAACCACCACCCCGATTATGCGAGACACTGGCCTAAGCCACATGCATGTGTGCGAACGGGCCGTCTATACGTACACGCAAACCTTTAACTGTGTACGTTTCCGGCCCGCTACCGCGCGCGAGCCTGGGCTCGAGAGCTCGTCGATGACCCGGGCCACGTCGATGATTTCCACGGAAAATTCCTCCTTCCCTCTCCTCTTCTCATCTCACCTCCTCCCCTTTTTCCTCCTCACCCGCCTCGTTCTCCTCTCGACGCCACCCTTCGCGAAAAAGGCAAAACTTCCAATTGTTACCCAAGCTCTACATATATGCATACTCGAATTGCACGTTTTTACTTTTTTCTTTTTTTTACTTTTTTCTTTTTTTTTTTTTACTACACTGAAAAAGAAGCTCATTCAATTGATCCTTTATTTGAAAAAATAAATAAAACTTTTTGCTATCGTTTTTTTTTCTATGCTAGTTGTTTTTTTTTTTTTACATGCTTTTATATTTTAGAAAGTTTTTATAAATTTATTTCGATCGTATTTAGTATGTATTTCAATGATTGCATTTAGATATTAGAAAGACTTAACGATTGTTAAACCCTTTGTAACAATATGCTTCTGTTCATGATGAAATATCCGGTGCAAATGTTTGTACCTTCTGTCAGTCATTGATTACTTTTCGTTCGAATTTAATTTACTGACAATCATTTTTTTTTAATCAAAAAATGTCTGTTTTCGCGTAACGATAATTGTACGTTTTATTGTAGATTCTTCTTGGAACGACAAATCATTGAAGTAATTTTTCACGTCGAATACTCTTATACACCTGTGCGAGGCATTTTCTTAGAAAAATTTACTTCAACTCCTCGCAAATGTTATTCGAATTTTTCAATCGTTATCTTGGTCACCTTGATCCTGGATGCGCGAAGAGCTTATCTTATCTTTTCGGTCGCACCTAGCTTATAAAAACGAAGATATTAGGTGCATACAAATCTTTCCGAAGTAAATTATTGTCTTACAAAATACGTCATTCGATAACAACGGAATATTTCTATCATTTGTCTCGAAAGATAGAAAGAAATAAATAAAACATCATTACAATCTGTTCAGATTTTTTCAAATATAAAAATCACACAATGAAGGTGATAAAATACTTTATAAAAAGAGACACAAATTTTAAAAAGCCGAAGAAAAAAAAAGAAAGAAAAAATGAGCAACCCTTTCATCTATGGGCAGAAATCTTTGAAAATTAATGATTTTCCTCTTTGATGATCGTTTTGTTGGTCTTTGTAAACGGTGCAGAGCAAAGAGAATGTCGAAACTCGCGCGAAGCACGAGGTACGATTGCATCATGGTCCCGCCACAACGTGCTGCTGCATCGTGCGCTCTCTCGTGTTGCATTTGTGTGTGCATATGTACTTAGATTAGCTCCTATTGACACAGCCACAAACGACGACGGTGATGGTACAGTCGGGAAAAACGCGAGCAACGCGTTCCACGTACTAGTCACTTCTCGTCTATCAACTTGCGAGTCGTTCTCTCATCGAATAACAATCTGTTTAATTCTACGAGTAGAGTAACCAACTCAACCTTTGAACTCGATGCAACTTGCCAAAAGATTTTCATTGTACTTGACGAACGATTTCGTTCATCTCTTCTTCCTTCCTTCCTTCCTTCCTTCCTTCATTGCTTCTTTTTTATTCAACGTAAATTATTTTTTCTTTCGTTCTTATTATATGTAAATTAATTCGTATTTAAAGTCAGACGTTACGGTCTTGTCACAGAGATGAGCTAAAAAAATACTTTTCTCTCGATTCGTTTCGCAAATTAGCACTTCATTTAACTCCAATTAAATTTGCAATCGAGAGATCAGTTATCCATTAACGCGAAATATTTAATGCAACTAAATTTAGAATAGAAACGAAGTCTACTAATCATCAAAGAGTGGAAGCTCAGTTCACGTTCGCTTGCTACTCCCCAATCGTCATTAATACTACCGACCGTCCAAACGAACGTAACAAATTCATGAAGTGTCTCGTTGATTCGTGTCGAGTTTTGCGGATCGCTGACTTTCCCGGCGACAATTAAGCACTTCGATGATTCCCCTTTCTGTCGTCTAATATTCAATGATTAAAAAACGAATCACCGAGTAATACACCTATCTCTTTCTTTATCTCTCTCCTAATCTCTCTTTCACCAATAGCACGTTCGATGGTCAATTCAAAATTTTACAAACTTTTCTTACGCGCACGAGCTTTCCTGCTAAAAATCACCATCGTTTTTTTATTTGATCATATTTCAATGTAATCATGATTTAATAGTACCCCGTGCAACGATAAGAAATCTGTATAATTACAATTAAATGAATAGTCGTTACTTAATTGTTTATTTTTCTTCGCGAAGAACCTTCGAGATAGATTTTGAGAAAATAAGAAAAGTGGTAAGAGGGGTGGGTGGGTGGTCAGATAACAGTAGAGTGACTTTCTGAGTCAACTGTACTAAGTCCACGACGGAGAGCGGTTTTTCTAGCGCGAGCAGTTTTTCTATTAAGCTTCATTTGTTTCTTTCATTGCGTAATGCGCCGGACGCGTCGCTCATTTCATCCTACTACCAACGTCGACTACTCCTACCGTTAGAATTCTTAATCCAGGCCGCAGTTTCGATGGCTTGCGTGCTTCTCGGCCTTCCGATTCGTCGATTCGTTCTAGATCGTTGATAACGGTCTCAACGAGGAAATCTCTACATAGAAAATAGTG